GCAGTGTTTCTCAACCCTGGTCCTGAGCGCCCCCCAACACTGCACATTTTGTATGTCTCCCTTTTCTGACACCCATTTCAGGTCCTGGAGTTTCTTTTAATGAGCTAATGAGTTGAATCAGGTGTGTTTGATTAATAGGGAGACACACAAAATGTGCAGTGCTGGGGGGCGCCCAGGACCAGGGTTGAGAAACACTGTCCTAAAGTAAATTAGAGTAATCCATCCCTTGTTTCAAGGGCTATGGGTTCTTGAATTTTAAAAGCAATTGATTTGTAAAGCTTTCCATACTGTTATAAAACCCGTCATCCTCTGAGGGATTCGATTCCTTTCTATCTGATTCACAGTTCATGCACGGCTAGACATAATGCCCTACATTCAGTTCATCAATAGAGGCATCAATACCCTGCAATGTTTCCAGACTTGTAAAAGAAGCACAGACACTTTTTATGGAAAAGATGTACTTCTTTTACAAGTTTACAAGAGAGGCTGCTGCTAATAGGATGTATTTCCACATGGCTTGTAGGTTAAGAATGTGTGGACATTTAAACACTTTTTTTTTTTTTTGCGCAGTGGTTTCTACAGCAGATTAACAAAATGGCTTTAAAAAGCATGTTTGAAGATACGAATAAATCTAGTGTAGACAAAGCTAATGTACTGATTTCACCATGTCTTAATTTGTTATCATAATCAAGTAAATCTCATATCGCTATAAAGCAAGCTAAACATTGTATAGGTGAGTAAACATTAGCTGTGAATTATGTAGAGTGCAAACTTTCCTTAGCAGAGAAACCAAACAGATGAAATCTTGGCTAATGCATTTTAAACACATCTTTGTATCCCTGTCACACACCAGTGATTCTCAACCTTTTTGACACTTTTAAAAAAAAGTGTCAAACCCCACACAAAATAAGGGGGTTTATTTTTTAGTGATGCCATAGAAGAACCTTTCGGTTGCCTAAAGCATCTTTGTTCTTAAAATAACCAATTTTCTTAGTGTGAAGAACATTTTAATAGTCTAAAGAACCCCTTTCCACTATACACTCTTAAAAAATTAAGGTTCCGAAAGGGTTTTTTTGCAATGTTGTTGTAGATGAACCATTTTGGGTTTCCCAAAGAACTTTTCAGTGAACAGTTCTTAAAAGAACCATTTTTTTCTTAGAGTGAAGAACATTTAAATAATCTGAAGAACCTTTTCGGAATGGAAAGGTTCCATGGATGTTAAAAGTTCTTCATTGTTGTAAATTGTTATTTGTTAATATAAATAAATTTAAACAAAAGTTTGCAGAAGCCCTTGGTTGAGAACCACTGTTCTAAAGTATCCCTGTCACACACCAGTGATTCTCAACCTTTTTGACACTTTAAAAAAAAAGTGTCAAACCCCACACAAAATAAGGGGGTTTATTTTTTAGTGATGCCATAGAAGAACCTTTTGGTTGCCCAAAGCATCTTTGTTCTTAAAATAACCAATTTTCTTAGTGTGATGAACATTTTAATAGTCTAAAGAACCCCTTTCCACTATACACTCTTAAAAAATTAAGGTTCCGAAAGGGTTTTTTTGCAATGTTGTTGTAGATGAACCATTTTGGGTTTCCCAAAGAACTTTTCAGTGAACAGTTCTTAAAAGAACCATTTTTTTCTTAGAGTGAAGAACATTTAAATAATCTGAAGAACCTTTTCGGAATGGAAAGGTTCCATGGATGTTAAAAGTTCTTCATTGTTGTAAATTGTTATTTGTTAATATAAATAAATTTAAACAAAAGTTTGCAGAAGCCCTTGGTTGAGAACCACTGTTCTAAATCTTTGATCTAATGACTTATGCTTAAATGCGTACAAATTTTTTAGACAAATGTATATTGTGCCTATTCATGAATTTCTTTACAGAATAAAAATGTTAAACATGCATTTTGAATGAGTTGGACTGGCTAGTGAAGGTAAAGCGGCCAGCACATGCCCAGCAAATGTTTAACTGGTAGAGTATTGGTACAAACAAATATGTAATTTTTGTTGCTTGCAAAAATAGTTTTTTTTTTTTCAAAATAAAAATTAATTACAAAATTGCCTGGTTTTGTCCAAAACAAATGTGTCAGCATATTTAGTCATTAAACTGATCATGTCTTTATTAAACTAACAGAGGCATTAGATGGTTGTGTGTGTCTGTGCATGTGTGAGGTGATCTAAGAAAAACACAAGTGCCAGGAGACTGCGGAGACATGTGGCACATCTCCCACACTCTGAACAGGTTGTAATGAGAGCCAGTGGGGTTTCATCGTAACCTAACAACTCTTGTGTTTGTTTCTGCAAATCTGTCAGGGGTCTGTAGATTGCTGCTCTCTTGATGAATTCACACACTCTGATTTGATTGCCTCTTCACTTTTCCAACTACTTGCTCATATACTTGAAAGTTTTGGAGCTTTTTTTTTTTTTTGCTTTTACCTAGCAAATATAAATATAATTTTAAAAGCACTGTGTGAAAAGCCTATTTTGAAGTGAATTTTAGTAAACACAACCTCATAATATAATTTGTGAAATTCAAAGCTTGATTGACTAAAACTGGTAATCAATTCAATTTAGTGGTTTTATTAACCTACACTGAGCAAAGAAATGTACAAGCACTACAGAGGAACATCACGTAACAGCAGGCCAAAAAGTTTCATCATAATCAGTGTCAGACGCTCTTGGGGTGATAATCACTTGATTCCTTGTGGAGAACACCAGCAGTTTACCACCTGACAATGAATAATCCAAATTACACCAGTGAAGCAAGTGAGTTTTTTATATTAAAGTCACATTTATTCCATCCCACACAACAGGCATCTTCACATACTGGCATCAATGCCAGAGAGAGAGAGTTCATTCATACCACAACAGCAAAATTCTCCTAAACATTACAAATAACAGCAATTGCAAAGCAAACATGACTTTTAAATTGGTTGCACAATAGTTATGAATGCTTTAGAGATGTGATGACCAACAAAACCTTGACAACTGATGTGAACAAACGACAGTAAGAGAATTTGGACATAAAAATTAATCTCATGCATGAAATCCATATTTATGATGCTTAAAGTATGATGTAACATTTAAATTTATTAGCCTCGCATACTCACTTTGGAAAAGCCATCAGAGATGAGTGAGTGACCTCTCCCCTCACTGAATAAACACTATTGGTTGACACCAAAAAGTGACCTGCTGAATTAGTCATAAAAATAAAGTTACATTTTAATACACAGTGAAAGCTGTAAATAGCAGATATCCCTCTTTGAACCGTATCTTTAAATGGAGAAAGCCCACTAACAAAAGTAAGCATTGTAATACTGTGCCTACATGATGATGAGAAAAATTTTCCGAAAAAAAAGCACACAATGTTAAAGGCAGAGTAAGTGATTTCTGGTAGCCAATGTTGAAATTTGAAATCACCAAAACAAACACGCCCCTACCCCAAAAGGGTCTTGCCCCTATTTTGATAGCTCCGCCCCACATATACGTACGCAACCCAGGCAACGATTAGTTCTGTGAAACAAAGCAAAACTAATGTTACACTGTGTCTACGGACGTGAGCGGCGCGGCGCAACAAATCCCGACAGAAAACTGCTGCCGGGTTCTATTTATGACGTGCTGACACAAATTTCAAATGGTTTTCAACGGTCGTTTGATCGCGTCCAGTGTAGTCAGACTTTAGCTGTTGTAGACACGGTGTTACTCACCTATTGAGAAGAAACAAAGCAACCTCGGCGTCTGATTGCAGGCCTCCGCTCCTTGAGTTCTCTCCAGCACTGGAAAGCTGATCCAATATTTTACACGGGTCCTACTTCTTGCCTTATCTTTCCGCAGACGTTTTCCTCTTTTGTTTTTTTATCCGCCATCTCTATCTTTCTGTCGCTCGGCTCGGCTAATGTCCGTCCCATGCACTGAACGCGCTCTCCTCCACATCACGAGTAGACACGCCCCTTATTGCTGATTGGCTACAAGTTTGTTTTGCGATTCGGCCCGAATCAGTTTTCTAAAGTGTTTTTGAAAAATCACATACCCTGCCTTTAAGGGTCTTTCTAAAGTCCTTGGTCCCTCTAAACGGTGTGCCAATCGTTAGTTGAAGATGACAGCTTTCCACGGTTTGCCCGTTTCGAAATGGCTGGCTGTGCAGGGGTAGGAAAAGAGGAAAATGGCCATGCTGAAAATTGAAACTCAGCTCAGCAAGTCTGGTTGGAGGCCAATCCTCTGAAGCACATCCTCAGGCATGCAAAACACAGGATTCACTGGTTTGATCTGCTCATCTCCCAGCAAAGACAGACCAGCCACACCAAACAGAGTGTGGAAAGGATCCACCTGGATGGAAATATAGAACACTGGCAAGAATGCACTGCAGAGACTGATAAGCTCTGTATAAAGAATGGCAAGTCCTAGAGAAATGACATGCAAAATATTTATGCACATGCAAAGTTGTATGTGACAAATTCCAAAGAGAGCTTACCATGTCTCCAGGCCTATCAGCGAAGCCTCCAGTCTCTTCATCCTGGCAAGCAAGAATAAAATTGCGCAGTTTTGCTTTGTCAATCCAGTGAATTCTGCCAATGATCTTCAAAGCGGCAAGAACCCACCAGGAATAGCAGACATCAGGCAGCTGAATCAGAGAAAAAAAAATTTAATCCACAGTTGTGTTTGGTCTCTCATAAATAATAACTTCTTATAAATAAATAATTCAAAATTATAATAATCTAGTATTAAGTTTTGAAAACATTACATTTTTATATTTTACATTATTTTACACTTTATATTTACATTATATTTTTCAATTTTGTTTATTATTTATGGTCAATTTTAATATGTTTTATATGGTTAGCAAACAATTTTAATTTAATCTATATTTTTAATAGCTATTTTACATTTTTATTTAGTTTCATTATGCTACTAATTTTAGTAATAGTTTTAATCTTTTACAACACAAACTGTACCATTTATGATCCAGTTATACTGACTGGATCAGATGGTCCCTTCATGAGCAGAATACACTGACAGTCAAATATCAGACTTGGGATTCATTTAAATATCCAGCATTGTCTGAAAATATAACTAGTTTTCACTTTTTTTAAATCACACTTTTTTTATTAGTTAATATCTTTGATCTAAAGGACATCTTACCTTCTCTGGTCTCCCATTCAAGCCTCCTGATGGTAACTGTCTTTCACAGAGCCACCAACCCAACAGATCTGCATTTACTTGATGAAGCTGCCCAGTGATCGACAAGAAACCTGTACAGCAATAAATCTAGAGACAGGGTGAGAAAAACATATGATTACAACGTATGAATGCACTAAAACGGTTTAAAGGTGGGCATAAAATACCTCAAACACTTTACCTGACCAGCATGGGACTCTGAACCAGGCCTACAACCAAACCCACCATCAAAGTTCATACAGGACAGCACAAACTCAACAGCCTTGTCCATGTTGATCACATCCAACTTGCCCTGCACAGAAATGTGTCATGTTATATGTATTTAAAACCTTGAAATGTTGCAGGAAACACTATAAAAGACAATTAAATATAATATTTGAATAGAAAAGAATTCAGACCAGTAGTGACAATGTCGCAACCGCACAAAAGGAAAACCGTGTATCTATTTCTCCTGTTAAGGAACAAAAGCGAGCATTCATGAAGTCATATAATACTTAAAATTGTTTATTCCAGTAAAGACTGAAAAAACAAATAAATGTACCCCATTTGTCTCCTGCGAATGAGCCATCCTCCTGCTGCAGTCCTTTAACATAGTCTACCACTTTGTCTACATCAATGACATTAATGCTGTCATACAAGGACAGGATCTAAAGGGAGTAACAACATTTTTTTTTCATTAATTCCCACTTTTGAGTAGTCATTTTTTTTGTAACCATTTATTAATTATTATGATTGCCTTCTAGATTTGTAGATTCCTGCTGACCTGTACAGCACTGAGGGTGTAGAGGAGATGAGGGTCATGGCCAGTGCTGGCGCTGATGCCTCCACAGTCATGCTGGCAGGACTTGATGAACTCTATGATCTCCTCACGGTTCATTCGAGACAGCTGACCCATCAGGTCCATTACTGTCAGACCCCAGTAGATGCCACTCATTCTCAAGTATTCGGACAGTGTGTACTCCTGCAGGAGATGGTGCAAAATACATGGGAATTAACCTCTAATTTTATTCATTTTTGGAGGAAACCCATTTTTGCATCTTTTCTAAGCCATCAACGTACATAGTCATCCTTCTTGGAGCCATAGGCTGCAATATAGTCTGCATGCTCGTCTAGGAGGAGAGTGTTTGGCGCATCAGGCTTAATGACCACGTCTTTAACCTGGGTCCCCTGCAAAATAAGGTTGCCGTTATCACTTTCTGACAATAAGCTCAAAAACTGCAGTCTGACACATTCATTTTAACCCAGGCTGTAAACTGTGCTGAACTGACTGGGCGGGCGAGCGACATGACATGTTTTTGCTGCTCTCGTTCTCATCGTTTGGTGTGTACTTCACAACCTTCACAATCGCAGTTGACCGCATGCTCTTTCTTTATGGGGAAAACATGACCTCATATGATCAATTAAATAACTATAAAAGCAAAGTAGTGTATTTTACATTACCATCCTGACGGAGAAGCAAGAGAGTGGACTACAGGCTGACTTCAGTCACACACATATTACATCATCACATTCCTCGTCATTTCTAAGGGTGCCCGTGAAGGACAGTATAGACGTTATTATGGAAAGCTAAAGTTGATTTTGCAAATCGCATTTAAACAACGGAACCTCAACAGAATATTTGCTGGAATGACGTGATACAAATCACCTCAGTCACTACAGCTGCATTTTTTCAAACATACATAAGTGCAGTTAAATCTTTCTGGATTTGAATATTTGATATTTAACTGTGAATAGTGACAAAACTTAACCTGTCCAACGAGGTAAACTTAAATTCTTGACAAAAAACAGGTGAATAATATTTTTTAAATATTATAAGTTAACGTTACATCAGTGTTGCAAGTCAGTAAACAAGATAAAGCTCTGAAAGACAGAAAAAGAGTGGCAGAGTTATATAATAATAATAGCGCGGTAAAGTTAGTTTTAGGTTTGATATGCTAAAAATAGCAATAATAGCTTCTCTGTTCGCTAATGTATAACCTTTGAATTGATACTGTATATATTTTGCCATTCAGTAGAGATGGAAACTACCTGGATGTTGCAAGAGGAAAAATAGGTGAATAATATTTTAAAAGAATCCTGTTCTCTATTTTACAGGCTGCGTATCATTTTTTTTTTTTTACAGTAGGTAAAATAAGTATCTGGTGAATGCCAGGTTAAAAAATACAGAAAAGCACAGGTAAGTGATACTTTTAAAGCATTTCTGTTCTCTGTTGTACCTGTACTTTGATTTGATACTGTATATATATTTGTTATTCATTACAGTAACAATGGCAACTACCTCAATGTTGCAAGAGGAAAATTAGGTAAAATAAAACTGGTGAATGCCAAATTAAAAATTATAAAAAGCTCAGGTGAGTAATATTTAAAAAACACCTCTGTTCTCTATTATACAACCTGTAGTTTGAATTGATACTGCATATCTTTTGTCATTCAAAAGAGTAGGAATGACAACTACCTGGATGTTGCAAGAAGAAACAGCCTGTCAACTGAGGTAAAATAAGACTCTGGTGAATGCCAGATTAAAAATCATAGTAAAGGACAGGTGAGTAATATTTGAAAACATTTTTTTTCTCTCCTTTGGACACCCTGTAGCCTTCCTTGAATTGATTATGCATATGTTTTGACGTTCATTGCAGTAGGGATGGAAACTACCTCAGTGTTGCTAGAGGAGATGCAGCCAGTCTACTGAGGTAAAATAAACCTGAACGGCAGAATAGAAATGTAAAAAAAGCACAGATGAGTAATATTTTAAAAGCTTCTCCATTCTCTGTTGTAAAACCTGTATTTTGAATTGATACTATATATAAATATATATTGTGAGGGTTGTCAAAGTTAACCCGTAAACGTACATGTGATTAAATTCAAAATCCTTAACTCCTTATAATAATTTAATGCAAATAAATTACTGAAGCACGTGAAATTGCGTCATTAGCATATACGGTAACTTAAAAAAATTATTCCACCCAAAAAAGAAAATTCTCTCATCATTTACTCTCTTACATTTTATCCCAGATGTGTATGACTTTTGTTGTTTTTGTATTTAGTTCAATATTTTTTGAAAGTTTTTCAGATGTGGAGGAACTTAGAATCAGCAACTTATCGATTTTGCCAGGTTTCAGTTCAGGCAAGGCAAGGCAAGTTTATTTATACAGCACATTTTATACACAATGGTAATTCAAAGTGCTTTACATAAAAGGAATTAAAATAATCATTAATAAAACTTTGAAAATAAACTAAAATTGATTTAAAATGAATTAAAACAGTTAAGAATAGAAAAAGATTATACATAAAATA